AGGAGTGCTTTCTTCTTTTTTAAAAATAAAAAAAACGAATAAATAAGTATTGCCAACTTGGAATATATCTATCTTGTAGGGGTGCAACGATACACAAAATTCACGGTTTGGTTCCGTTCGATACTTTGGTGTCACGGTTCAATATTTTTTCGATACAAAAAAATGTTCATACTTTTTTAATTTGCCATTTATTAAAATTATAAATATATATTTTAACTCAGAAGTACAGTTTTTTAATGTAATGTTGCTGAAACAACATAATAATAAAAAAAATAAAAAAAATCTGATCTAGAAAACACTCATCTTTGGAAAAGAGAGTTTATTACAGAGAAATGGCTCTTTCCAAAATAAAAGCTATACTATACGCTTCTTCTGGGCTATATTCTCAGCAGCATATTAAACATACCAGGAATCATGTGCTAAATGACTCGGGTAAAGTTTGTAGCATGCGTGCTTGTTGTTTTTGTCTGCTTCCACTTGTCTTTGCACTAGGATGATGTCGGCGTAAATGTGCAGTCATATTCGTTGTGTTCCCACTACTGCTGTCAGCGTTAATCTCATTAAAATGACATTAACGCCATAAAGCGGCAAATCTCCGTTAACGAGTTACCGCGGATCGCCCCGTGCGTGGGGCTGGACGGCGTCAACACGTTAACGAGCTAACTGCGCTAACGCACTAGTTCCCACCAATGTAATTGAGCATTGAGTGGCACATCCGACATACTGTTTTACTTTTGTCCATTAGGGTCATGCTTCACATGAAAACCAAGATAGTTCCAAATGCCAGATCTGAATGAGGGTGGGGGAGGTTCAATTTCGGCTAGCGTTGAGGCAGTTGCCATGTTGCAACGAGCTTAGCTTCTGTCTTGCTAGCTTGCGCTGCGCTCAGTGGATCTGCACTCGACAGTGCAGCCTAGGCGGAGTAGTCGAACGCGGATCCACTTAGCGCTCAACACAGACAGCATCGTCAGAAGAAAAGTTTGTATTGTTCGATACATATGCGTACTGGTTCGAACAGTTCAATATCGATACGAGTATTGTTGCACCGCTACTATCTTGGCCCCAGAAGGATCCTACAATAAGGTTATTAATCTCAAGAGTTTCACTTCCTGGACAAATAAAACAAACTCAATGTGAATGCCATATATTTATGAAATTTGAATATTAATTTTCTTGTACACCTTGTTCGATGGTTTTTTTTCGTATGTTTTCAAGTTGAACACAATATCTGTTGGGTAGAAATTCTTTAAATATGATCACATTCACCCAGGCTGTTTTTACTTGTTTTCAAGTTGTTAATGTTATGACATTTTGCGCAGAAAAAGAATGTCGCTTCAGATGCATTTTTACTACTGGAAGTATTTCATCTAATTTAAGCTGAATAGTTGAGCAGCACATGCAGGAGGTAGAATACATGACACCCATACGCTTACTGTAAGTTTACAAGACAATGACCTGCTTTGTTCACACATGGACTTAATTTGATATCTCAGTCTTTATGCTAGAGAGTTGGCAGGTTAAAATCCATTTACTGGCTGAACTAAGTGAGTCAGACATTTGGATTCCTAACTCTGCCCGGGAATGTGCAGTGCATATGTGAAAACAACTTTGCGTGTAAGGGCCTGTGACCTTGTCTTTTTGACCATAACTCAAGAATTCCTAAATTAATGACAATGGCAACATTTTCCAGAAATGTAAAACAGGATAAAATGATGAAGAAATTTGCAATTTTGACCAAGAGGTCAAAATTGTTGCATTGTAATATTACGTAAAAACACTTTTCACAGCCTTGAAATAAGGGAGACTGTGATCATATTTTATTTTGGATACTGAACTGGTGACAGTAATCTCTGCTGGCAGATCTCTATATAAGAGACAGGACAGACAAGGGTGTAAATGACAATACTGGAAAAATTGCGAAACAGCAATTCTAGTAACTGAACTCATACTTATATTGACTTTTCTGCTCCATTTGAGCAGTCAAAGCACTTTTAGAAATGTGAAGCTAGAGACTCCAGTAACCATAGTTAATTGTATTCCAGGGCCAGAGCAGACAACACTGGAGACAATTTGATACTGCTGTCTAAAAGTAAGCATATATTCAGTGAAATTGCAAATCACAGTGAAAGTAATGACACCCATTTGCATCAATCGGAGGTCACTAAAATTAATATTGAGCCTCATGCCAGGAGTGACATGGTTAGCTACATGTTCTCCTTAAAATGCTGGGTGTCCAAAACATGATGTGGGCTTCATAGTCAAATGGAACCAGGAAGCAGAGGATGTAGGATGAATACGTTAGCTTAAATGAGTCATACTGACTGTCAGAATCCTCAAAGCTAAGGCCGAGGAGGAGGAGTGGCTGCAATCTTTCACTCCCTGTTATTAATCAACCAAAGACCCAGAAAACTCAAAAAACAGCTATGAGGTGAACTTATCATTCACCTCATAGTTTCTATCTGATTTCTCAGACTTTTTTTTTTATCTGAGTTAGTGCTCCGTTTTGATAAAATCATTATTATACATGATTTTAACACAGATATAGATGGTGAAAATGAAAGTCTTGACATAAATGTTTTTTTTTAATTAGACTTAATTTACTTTTCTCAAAATTTAAATGATCGTGCAACTTCGCAATATTTTCTGACTCTTTATTTAGACGCTTTCTGTCCAATTAATCTTTCTGAGTTAACTTAATGTCTTCCTCTAAACCATCACTGTGACTTTTAACTGATCATTTCCAAAGGAACAGTTTATTTAAAGCATTTTAATCAGGATTTAAAATTCATCATAGCACAGAAACAGTACTAGTGAATGTTGTACATAATGATCTTCTTACGGCTTCTATATTGCACAAATATGAAGAACTCCCTTTATTCATTTGCACAATATCTCTAATATTTAGAAACAGTCTGTCTCAAATTGATGCTGAAAAGCTGGTCCATGCATTTATTGCTTCTAGGCTGCACTAACTTCAGCTATCAGGTCCCTCTTCTTTGGAAATGACAAACATGCTGTCTACTTTTAAGATTAAACTTAAAACTTTCCTTTTTGATAAAGTATATAGTAAAGGCTAGATCAGGTGACCCAGAACCATCACTAAGTTACGCTGCAATAGGTTTAGCCTGCTAAGGTACTTTTCTTGATGCAATGATGCAATGTCTTCTTTACTCATCTATTTTTTACTCCCCGTGTGTTTATACACCAGTACTGTATGTAATCATTAGTAATTCATGAACTCTGGCTCCTTTCCACAGGACACAGCAGATGGCTGCTCCACCCTGACACTGGTCCTGCTGCAGGTTTCTTCCTGTTAAAACTGACCTTTTCCTTCTCACCGTTGCTTGATCATAGATACATATCTGATTGTTTGGGTTTTCTCTCTAATATTATAATGTCAAATTGCATTGAAATGGAATCAAATTCAGTGTCTTTACCCATTCATAATTTTCTTTCCATGCTTAAGTACTTTTAACTAACTCACACACTGGTGGATGCATCTGGGACAACTCGGGGTTCAGTAACTTGCTCAAGGATACTTGGACATGCAGACCAGATGAGGCAGGAATCAAACCACTGACCTTTTGCAAACCACTCTAGCTTCTGAGCTACAGCGACTACTCTTAAAACATATGTATTGACTAGGGGTGCAACAATACTCGTATTGATATTGAACTGTTCGATACAGTGCTTTCGGTTCGGTACGCATATGTATCGAACAATACAACATTTTTTATTTATTTTATCAACTTTTCTTCTGACAATGCTGTCTGTGTTGAGCGCTCAGTGGATCTGCGTTCGACTACTCCGCCTAGGCTGCACTGTCGAGTGCAGATCCACTGAGCGCAGCGCAAGCTAGCAAGACAGAAGCTAAGCTCGGTGCAACATGGCAACTGCCTCAACGCTAGCCGAAATTGAACCTCCCCCACCCTCATTCAGATCTGGCGTTTGGAACTATCTTGGTTTTCATGTGAAGCATGACCCTGATGGTAAGCGCGTCATGGACAAAATTAAAACAATATGTTGGATGTGCCACGCAATGCTCAATTGGTGGGAACTAGTGCGTTAGCGCAGTTAGCTTGTTAACGTGTTGATGCCGTCCAGCCCCACGCACGGGGCGATCCGCGGTAACTCGTTAACGGAGATTTGCTGCGTTATGGTGTTAATGTCATTTTAACGAGATTAATGCTGACAGCACTAGTGGGAACACAACGAATATCACTGCACATTTACGCCGACATCATCCTAGTGCAAAGACAAATGGAAGCAGACAAAAACAACAAGCACGCATGCTACAAACTTTACCCGAGTCATTTAGACAGCCGTTAGCACATGATTCTCCATATGGGGACCTGGTATGTTTAATATTCTGCTGAGAATATAGCCCAGAAGAAGCGTATAGTATAGCTTTTATTTTGGAAAGAGCCATTTCTCTGTAATAAACTCTCTTTTCCAAAGATGAGTGATTTCTCGATCGGATAGATTTATTTTTTTATTATTATTATGTTGTTTCAGCAACATTACATTTAAAAACTGTACTTCTGAGTTAAAATAAATATTTATAATTTTAATAAATGGCAAATTAAAAAGGCATGAACATTTTTTTGTATCGAAAAAATATCGAACCGTGACACCAAAGTATCGAACCGAACCGTGAATTTTGTGTATTGTTGCACCCCTAGTATTGACAGCAGCAAAAGGTGTCATATAGCAAAAAAAAGCTGCTGGTTTTAGACTGTGCTGTTTGTGCTGTTAGACCTGAAAACATATTTTTTGCCTCACACCACTTCTCTATGGGGGAATTACTTGTACGTGTTATAAAGCCTAATATATGTTTTTATGTCACCAGAAGGCTTTTTGCATAAACCCTTCAGTCCTTTTAAATTTCATAAATCACAAAACGAACTACAAATCCCTGCTCAAAATCATCGCAGATGATTGGTTGCGGCTCACTTAAACGCCACTGTGCATGTCTGCATATGGCTCTTCAATCACGTCAATCAATTCGGTTAAATCCGGACCAATCAGGTCCGGGGGTTTCCCTTGGTGGGCGGGACTGTAGTGCTTCCTCACACAGCAGGCTCGTTTCCTAGACGTTGCTAACAACCTGCTGCCTGCAACTTTCGCCTGTCTCCTCGTGCACTGTCGTTTTCCAGCTGAGGGGTGTTCGATATGTGCGCGAGGATGCAGCCGTGTCCACACTGAGAGTCCCCCTCAGCTCCGTGCCGGCTGCATGGTGCTCCGTGTCTCTCTGCCTGCTTTCTGACGCTTGAGGTTGCAGTCTGGCCTCCAGCCGCGACTGCGAATTAACTTCATTGCTCAGCGTCGCCTTGCTATGTTTATTTTATAAAGATGGCGGTGAAGGGGACACTGTAAACTAAATGACTGTCAGAAACATCGCCTCCATTTGTAATATGGTGAGTAACTCGCTGCTTTTCCGTGTTGATATCGATCCGCTTGCAGGCACTGTACTGAACCTGTGTGTGTGTGTGATGAGTCGCCTCCCACCTGCACCCAGAGAATGTGCACACTGCAGGTTTTTTTTAAAACGAGTATACACAGTAGTTTAAATCGTGGCCCTGATACTTTAGTTAGTTGTCGCTCAGACAGGGCCCCTTTTGTGCACCTTTGCACGCTGAAGCTTGCCAGTGTTCTGACAAACCATCCTCCTTTGGCAAAACGTCCTACCATAAGTAGTTTATGCACATTTCTGCTGTCACAGAGTAATTCCACCACAAATTTAACTAGGTATGATGGTTTGCCACTTAACTTTGCCCATCACAGTATGCTGTAGCTTATATTCATATAGCCAGGACGGTTTGCCACTTCATTTTACCCGTTAAAGTATGTTTGTAGGTCACATTCACAAAGGTAGCATGGTTTGGCACTTCATTTTACCCATCAGAGTATGTTTCTAGATCTTATTCACAAAGGTAGGACAGTTCGCCACTTAAATTTGTGTTGTGCCCATACGCAGAAACAATGGGTAGGATGGTTTGTCAGGTAGGATGGATTCCCAGAACACGTGGAGCGTTTGCATTGTGTGTTGCATCCTGGCGAGACAACACAATGTACAGTTTGTATAGTTGTCACCGGTGATTGACAAGAGGGATGGGGGAGCGTGCTGCCTTTGACAGCTTGGTGTGATTGCATAATGTGGTGCTGCAGCAAAGGACCGGTTACATCCTGGTAGCATAGAGCAGGAATCTGCACTAATCTGTGCTCCTGGTGTGTTCAGGGGCAGTGAAGAGTGGGTAAGAACAGACTTAAACGGCTCTGCCTAATGCCAGTGGCCTTTGCTTTATTTAGACTAGATGCTAATGTGAAAAGCCTGCAGTGTCAGTCAGAGCTGCTAGAGTTCTTAGATTGCACAGACTGATATATTAATCCATATCTCATCAGGATGTGTGGTGTTTTTCTTTTGT